TAGACATACCATTTGACCAAAAAGATTTGAAAGATTCTCCACAGAAGCTAGAAACAAATGCCAGCGAATGAAAGGTGATTATCAAGTCATATTGCGTTCACTCTCGTTGATCAAAATTTATTACGACTTACCAGAGGTATCGGGTTGTTCTACGATAACGCGAATGTGTTTTTTGGGCAGGTTTGATGATAAGAAGCGAGAAAGAAGAGCACAATAATAAGTAAGTATTCGATATTATTGGCGAATATGACACGGCTTAAGTTCGCTTACCTCCTTGAATTTCATTGATTAATTTAACGATTTTTTTTGCGGGTCCAAGAGGTATTTGAATACTCAAAAGATCATCTCGTGCTAAATCAAGGAAAGTATCACCCTTAACCCTCTGATTATATAATATTTCGATATCTCCGTCTTCAAGGTCTAATTCAGTTTTGTTGTTTTGTAAAAATGCTTTAACGTCCTCTCGACTCCATGCCTTCACATGTTCAACTGTTGGAAGATTAGACATGACACCGGTTGAGGAACTTGTAACGATTAAAAAAGTAATGAAGATCAATTTGTGCGACAATCGATTTTTCGACCTTAGTTTTAACTATCACGTGGTAATTTTAACGCGTCTCGACCGTAACTCAAACGAAGTACTCCCTTTTTTTCATAGCACCTTCATAATATCTTCATTACATATATATTATAAGGGGTGTAATACATAGAGCAAAGTTAACTGGAACTAGCATTACGTCCAAAACTATATCTAAGAGGTAGTTTCGTTTACTATGAACAACAGAAAAAAAATATTTAATATAAATAATCAATTAACGTATGTTGGAATCAGGCCTACCGAAAAATCAATTAAAATTAGTATATAATTAATTGAAATTCAATTAATGATGAAATAATTAAAATTAATTGCAATTAAAATCAATTTTCTTTTATTATATAATATAGAGTGCTACATATACTGTACTATTGTTCTTTATATAGTATTAGAAATATTTGGTTTCACACACACTATAGTACTAATCTTTAATATTGTAAAATGGTAATTTGTTATAAAAATAATATTATCGCTAACATAAATTTATTGTATATTATAAACACAAATCATAGTCCTATGGTATTTATATAATTTTTTTTAATAAAGAAATTATAACTGATTCCACACAATACAGTAGTACTGATTTTTAAATAGTAAAAATTAAATATTATACAAGATATTTTTATAAAAATTGAACAAATATAGTTGCACCACCAGTTAATTAAATAAGTTTGAATAATTGCCTCTACAATTAATTATTTAATAGATCTGATTTTTGATAGGTTGGATCTTTTGAAATTAATAAATACAAAAACCAGTGCTTTTCTTGTCAATTGGTCAGAAAAATATTTTGTATAGTGTCTTAGCTAGTATTTTTTTTGCTGATTCTCCTAAATTATTGTATTTTTATATTCTTGCATAATACCTTGGCTAGTGTTTTTCCACTGATTCTTGTTATAGAAATTCAAATTAATATTTCAGCCAATATTTTTTCTATTAATTCTTCTAAACCATTTCTACTTAAATTTTATTCTGTTAGAGTAATATTATTATATAGTGTTTTTGCTATCAATTCTTCTAAATTATTATTATTGTTATAGGTTAAATCAATACATGCATATAACATAATATCATATCATCACCTTATGTTGTGATCTATAAGGAAAATTAAGATGGAAATTGATAGAAAGGTATAGAGGTAGAAATTTTTAAAGTAGTATAGAATAGAAATCAGATATAAACATGTAAATAACAGGTGCATATATAAATACATGCATAGGGTTCCAATTGATACTATTCAGTGTGATATTTTATAAACTGATACTGAAAATATTTTTGGTATTGATACTGATAATTACTAAAAATTTTTAATACAAAACTTAGCAATACCAATACTGAATTGAAAGTATCGATATCAGGAAATTTTTGGGCAAAGATCTTTGAAAATCTTCAGACATAGACCTTTGAAAGTTTTCTGTTATCATTAAAGACTCCAGAGTGAAATTAGTATATTTAACTTTAAAGATCTTTAATTTAATTTAATAACAATAAACTATATTTATATTTATGTATTATAATTTAATAATATTCAATTTAAAATATTTATTAGCTTATAAAATTATTTTTATTATTACATAATTCTTGTTTACATTTATTTGTTTATTTAAATCTTTGCTTATTGCAGAAGTTCTTTGTTGTTTTGGATTATTCTCAATATTTTTCAAAGTTTTCTGGATTATCTTCTATAATAATAATTCAGGAATCAGTTATTTCTTCATCTTTGCTACTTGAATTTTTTTTTTCAAATCCAAGTTCTTTTTTAATTCTCTCTTAAAAATATTATTAGCAATAATTTATAATACTTCAAAGATTTTTAAAACTCATCTTATTTTTTCTACTTTGCTTTTAATTAATATTTCATTTATCGAAATACTTTCATTATTCATATCAAGAACTGTTTGGCATATTGCAATGGTGAATGCCACTTGTTTCTCAAAAGCATTTCCCTTTGGCCAGACTTTTTTTGAGAATATGAGCTATTATGCTTTGTATCCCTTCTTTTGAACATTTGTGAAGGTTTTCAAAGCATTTTACAGTTTTCTAAAATTATTTTTAGGCCAAAATGTCAGTGGCAGATGCATTCATATTTATTATATCTAAAAACCCTTCACCAAAAATCAAAAACATGGCATTACAAATTTTTGAAACCATAGTTTCATGAAATAATCAATACTGTTTTATAAGCTTTTAAAGCAATAAGATATTTAATAATTGAAGAACTAAAGTTATTAAAATTTATAAGAATTATTACTTGATAAATATACTTTTTATAATATATTTTCCAGTATTTTCTTATAAGGCCTTTGTAAAATTCTGAATGTTTTTGCTGAAAAAATTCCTTGATTATTTGGCAAAAATCTTCATAATCCAGATATATTTTTTTAAAAAATAATTGTTTTGTGATACTTTTAACTACATGCTATTTAAATAAAATATAAATTCTCAAAGACATTTGAAAAATTTCAAAATAAATCTTATCTTGATAAAATCATATTCAATAATTAAATGTTAACTTACGTGAATTTTATTTTCTAGATGGGTAATCTTATCCTTTATAATTTTTTGCTATTTTAACAATTGGTTGATTTTTTTATGAAGACCTTCATGGAATTCCATAATTCTTTCAATGGCTTTATTAGGAACTAAATATATAAGTTAATATTTATTTTAAATTATAACAAATTTGAAATATATCTAAAGTTTTTTTAAATGTTCTCCATGCTGGTATGCCAAAAGAAGAATCAAAAAAAATGTTTAGTGGATCTCAATTACTTCCGAAATGTTTTTGTTTCCATTTCAATAGGAGTCGAGAGTCTTCATTCAGTAGCTGACCCTTGGATTCCCTAAGTACTTTTTGCCTTTTTAAAGGACTTCAAAGTACTTTCTTGACTTTTTCCTTTTTTTTTTTCAGCAGAACCAGAAATAAGTTTTTGAAACATTTTATGCATTTCTTGTTTTTTGTTTGATATTAAAGAAAAAGTAAGAACTTTAGAGACCTTATATAATACAAATTCCAAGAAATT